GTGTACTGTAATATATGTCTTTTGTATAAAATCCTACCCATCAGAATTTTGTCCTTGGAGAATTCCAGTTCCTTCATGGTTACCATATCTTTTCCATCAACAGCTGCCTTTAAGGCAGCTTGATTTACGAGATTTTCAAGCTCTGCTCCAGAAAATCCTACCGTGCCTCGTGCAATTATTTCCGGATCAACAGCTGTGGGGAAAAAAAAGCAAACGAATTTATCATTAGTCCATATTGCTCCTGAAATTGCAATCATGTTCTATTAAAAATTATGCACTGAATGAAAAATTTGCAGTTTTAGAAGAAATGAAGCCTGATACTCAAGACACTATGAACTCTTGGGGACTAGAGAGGAATACTGCCTCAGTAAACTGTCCTAACACTACATAAATAGATAATTTTTATATTCTTTATTAAGACACAAGGGAAACCACAACTGCAGATAAAGGACTAACACATGAGATGGTTGATCCAGTATGAAAACTTACATAAAAAGATATTACAGTAAAGAATTTACTTACATGGGTCATACTTGATTTTATTAAGGTACCACTTGAGAATTTCCGTACGACCTCTCACATCAGGCTTGGGAACAGTAACTTGCATATCAAAGCGACCAGGACGTATTAAAGCACTAAAGGAAATGAGAATTTAAGATACTGACTTAAAAATCCTGCAGCAAACTTTCTACTGTATATCAAGGAACAAAAATCCATTGCTATTTTTAAAAGCACTTCCATAGACTGTCTCATGTACAGATGCAAAGAATATGTTTTTCTTACCTGCTTGTAAAAAGACAGGTGAAAGATGTTTATTACCAATCCATTTTAAAGGCTTTTTATTTGCATTGTGAACAAGGAATCTAACTGGTCAACTTAAGCAGAAAAACCTACAGGAATTTTAGATGCTTAGAAGCATGTTATTTATTTCTCCATGTTTACCTCCACAACCTATTAAATGCCAGAAACTGGACAATACACATCCTTTTTAAGCAGGAACACCCCCAGCTATAACACTAATACCTGAAGATTATCACAAGCAGCTCTGCTGTTGCTGCAGGGGGGTTTTCTGTTTGTTTTTAATACACGGTCTGTAAAATGATCAATGGATTATACTCACTTATCCAATGCTTCAGGGAAGTTTGTTGCCCCAATAATAACAACACCTTCATTCGGCTTAAAGCTGTATAGAAAAAATGGTACGAATTATTTTCCTTTTTTTTTTTGAAAAAAGAATTTACAATTTTCTCAAGAACTACTTCTGTTACTTATTTTGGATGACCCCCCTGGCCAGGCAAAAATATGCCTTCACACCATAACATGTGATCCAAGGATGACCATGCATAACTCAGCAACTAGTTAAAAACATGCCCTGATCTCAGAGTTGAACTTCTTCCTTTACGTATATAGGAAGGCTAAAATGATTGAGAAATTATTTAAAATAATTGCAGCTACTGTGCAACTGCAACTCAGAAGCTTCTATATTCTTTACAGCAAGGCCATTAATGCTACTGTTGGCAGTACCATAAAGTAGTTAAAAAAAAAAAAAAGGGCATATTAGATTAGATCCTTAAAAGTATTACAAGAAATTACATAAAACTTTAAAGCTGTCAAGGAGAAAAAATTCTCCCAGATATTCAAAACACCAGTCAGTCAAACACCTGCTGTGCCTTCAGAATCCATATACTTACCCATCCATTTCAGCAAGAAGTTGATTAATGGTCTGTCTTGAATAGGGGTGCATTGGAGATTCAATTCTCTTCCCACCAACAGAGTCCAATTCATCAATAAATATAACACAGGGTGCATTTGCTTTTGCTTCCCCTAACAAAAGGAAAATAGCAAAAAGACACTTGAACCACACAAAGGAACAGTGTATCATGCAGCGTAGATTCTACTATTCCTATTACTCTTGGATTATTAGGTGTTCTATTAGACATCACCAGAACTGTCTTGATTTTAACCTAAGAGAAAGGAAATTTATTTCTGAAATGGAGAGATACAAAGAGAAGCAAGGTTCTCTCATCTCCTTACCATGCCACAAGAAATCACTAACAAAACAGATGAAGAAATTCTTTTATTTTGCATGAACTCCTTACAAGAGAGTATTTCATGGCTCGGGTAGAGAATATTAACCTATTAAATAATATGAAATGTGATGGGTCTCAGCACTAACTTATTTTAATAGAACCTGCTTGTTATTTAACAGTGAAGGACTTGCACTCAAGGTTACAAGTACCAAAACCACAAAATAAAAATGCAGTAATAAATTTGAAGAGCATCAGTTGGTATATGTGTACCAGGATGCAACTCATCTCACCCAGCCAGACATATGTGTCACCTTGGTACTAATGCACAGGTCATCTAAACTTCTGTAATCAACAGAAGGAAATGCATTTTTCAGGTACAACATATATTACACTTTGTATCCCTTCCACATGAAGGAAGTCATGTTTCTTCTACAAATGCAAACTACTTTGTACCTTGTATATGTTTGACATTATCAATCTTCCATTTAAGAGATAAGCTGAATTTCCCAATCCCCAATAATATTCACATACTTAAAACAGAAAGCCTCTTCTGTGAAAGTTATAAATCTAAACATTAATTTTAAGTTCCATTACAATGCCCTTTATTCTGAGCCTGCTGATGGGTGTGAAAGGAAATCTCAGTTTATTGCTATGCTGTGATGACAAAGCTCTAATTCAGATTAAAAACAAAAAAGAGGGAAGTAATTGAGAAGGTAAACACTATTTTTTTCATCTTAAATTTACAATGCAAATTCACCACAATTTATGTATGACTAGGTAAATTACAATTCCAAATGTTCCATTTAGTTTATAGTCTATTACATTTCTTATTTAATTACTTCTGTCTGGGACAGTTGTAACATCAGTTATAATTTTTTGCTGTAATTTCATCTGACAACTAGAAAGATTCTACAGTTAACTGACACTCACAGAATTCTGACATTTACCCACACCATTAGTTTTACTTACTAGCTTTGTACACTATTGCTTTCCAATAATCAGAACTGCAACTAATCAAACCATGTAAACAACACTGAATACTTAACCTCACACATGAGATTTCAAACCCACAAATTTAACTTACTGAACAGGCTTCGGATGCGACTTGCTCCCACCCCAACAAACATCTCATCAAACTCTGACCCAGATGCATAATAAAATGGAACATCAGCTTCACCAGCCACAGCCCGTGCAAGAAGCGTTTTACCAGTACCAGGTGGTCCAACTAACAGAATACCTAAAAAAAGAAACAAAAATTCCAAGTAACAAAAACTCCAAATCCACAGAGACTTATAATGCAGGTAGTTTCTGCCATGCTTTAGAAGAAATAATTTATACTTGGCTTCAAAAAGCTGTTAACATCCCGTTTCAGACACAGCAGTCTGAAGGAGCTTCCTCTAACAAATGTGTATACAATCTGATCCATATTTAAACAAAGACTTGTAACACTGTCAAACAGAAACAGAAGCCTAAAGTGTTCTACAAAATTACTCTTGAGTTTAGCAGCTGAATCCCTAACAATATTTTCTTGAAATGGGCATTTTCCTGGCTGTTTCTGTGGAAGTTTTTTTAAATTAAATCATTCCAAGTAATTGTCTTTAAACAGTGTAGGGCACTAACAGGGAACAGACTTATCAGGTTTACCTATTTCAGATTCACTTAGACCTCCACTATGACCACTCTATCATCCTTTAAAAAGGCAAACATTTGCTTCTGAACTGTCTAAATCAGTTAGCAAGCACTAATGAAAGTGCTGAAAGCCATAAGGCTGAAATAAAAGAGCTCTTCTTTCAAGAGTTCAGTTACATAAACCTCCCTGTTTTACAGGACAACGAACTACTGTGGATCAGTTTAATAACTAAAGAAGGCACAGTACATTTTGTCTAACCCAAAAATTTTCATTTGCATAATACAAGAAAAAACAGTAAGAAGATATTAGTCACTTGGTATAGAACAAGCTACACAGCCATGGCTGCATAGGTTTTTCACTTCTGCTGATTCTTACCTTTTGGAAGTTTACCTCCTAATACAGTAAATTTATGTGGATTTTTCAGGAATTCCACAACTTCTTGCAATTCCTGCTTAGCTTCTTCAACCTACACATTAAAAACATGCCACAAATATAACTAAGCATTTATATAATGCTGCATGCTTCTTGTAGGTGAGCTTTGTACTAGAGATCAAGTCCATAATTGTGTATTGATCAAAGATACAAAACAGAAAGAGCAGATAAAAGTGTGGATACCTACTGTCCATGCATTTAATTCAACCCATTTCCTGGTCACAAAACCCAGTAAACATTAAACTTAGTAACACTGAAGGAATAACCGAACAGTTTAAGATCAGATCTGACCAACAAGCTAAATACAAAATAAAAAATTCAAGATATTAGTATAATTAATTAAAAAGGGATTAGTATTTGTCCAAGGGGAAAGAGAGGGAAAGGTCCACATTTTGCCTGTGACAGTCAATGAACAACAGAACAGAGAAAATAAAGGTATTCCATCAGCAGTGACATGTCCACTTCTTTCTGGGCATCTCCATATTTCCTGTCCTAATATCAATACCCAAAACAGATAGTACTAATAGAAATGATCAAATGGCATTATCACCTTGTACTGATCAACTTCTGCAGAAAATAGACAAACATGGATATTTATGGCCTACCTTTTGCTATTCTAGCCTCTAAAAATGTCATTCAACAACTGGAGAGTGCACCTTTCGTAAGGTATTAAATGCCACCAAAATATGAAGTAGAACAAGAGGAGTTAAAACCTTCCCTCATCTTGGAGTAGCCAATATATTTCACACAAAGAAAGACAGAGTAAGACATTCTTTAGACTCACAACGGTAAGTTAAAAGAACATGCACACACTTTACTTTGGATCTTACCCCTTTTACATGCTCGAAGGTGACATTTTTCAGCTGAATTGGATCAACTGCTGCATCAAAGATACTCGATGTCCGAAAGCGTACTAAGAGCAAACAGCAGATGAGGAACAACACATTTACATTTCATTCCAAGACTGAATGTTGCACTTGAATGCATACCTTTAAGACACTGAGTTTACACCTGCCCTTTCAAAAGGGCATGTGTGCATTTACAAGTGTCCAGCAGAACAGGATTTATTACAAAAGACATTTAAAATACTTGCAATTATTGCAGTGATGTGCATTTTAGTCATGTGAAGTACAGAAAGCTCTGCATCCAGAAGCATAAACACAAAGCCAGAACTTCTCCCTCAGTGCTTCTGCACATACCTTAACTTTCTTGAGACCTAGGTGATAACTTTGGGCCAAGCTCAATTTCTCCAGTTACATTAACTCTGCCTTTGATTGTTCTGCTATTTATTTCTCAAGATGACAATTTGGCCAAGCAAGTACCTAACTTGCCTAACCTAGATTAAGCTGTGATTACAAATTTTTAAAAGATCAAATCATTTTGCCTACTGCTCACCCAGATAATGCATCATCTAAACCGAAAGACAAACACACAACTAGTGAACAGTCTGACTTCTCTAGTTCCATGCAATTGCTTCACCAAAAGAATTAAAATAATTATACTGACACACAACTTTTTTGTCCCCATAAACACTCTAAAATTGTCACCTGAAAGGCTGTAGCCAGAAGCATTGGATAACTCTTTCATTACTGCACTGAAATGCTAACCTAAAGCAGATTTAATGTATGCTAAACATGCTGGAAGAAACAACACAAGTGAAACAATGTAGAAAAAAAAGTTAACTAACCAGCATCAGAAAAGGAACCTTTTCCAGGTAAAAATGATGAATATATAGCAAGATAAAAACAAAGAACGAAGAGAAAGAAAGAAAGCAAGCGTGATCTTCTTAAGGAATCTGTAAAAGAAAACAAAAAAACATTTAACATGGGCTGAAATAAACTACTTTCTGAATGCAAAGACAAGATACATAAATTAATACAACTTACCGAGTGTTTTTTGCAGGAATACCTGTGCTTTCAAAAAGCCTTCTGCAAAACCAGTTTTAAAGGCATCCTGTTGTGCCTCTGGGATGTTTTTTGTTTTCATTAGTGCATCTAAGTTTTCAACATCAATTCTTCGCTTTCTCAGGATAAAGCCCTGAAATATTTTCCATAGCAACGTTAGTATACACCAAGTTTTGATACACACTTAACTTAGCACCTGGCTAGCATAGGTGACGAAAAAAATATAATTACAAAAGCATTAACTACTGCTTTTTGCTTCATTTCCAATTGTGAAGTATCTTTTTAAGTATAGTTTTGATGGAGCTTGAGCAAATATATCTCACATGCCCTATCAAATTTAAGAGCAGCACTGCATGGAGCTAGCTCTGATTTATCTTCATACACAGTATACCTAGTCCACAGAAGAAATTAATCACATATGAAGAAGAGAAGAGTTCAAACACAATACACACAGAGGAAGATCTAATGCCTTAATTAGCCTGGCTTCTGTACAGTCAATTACAAGCAAAGAGCACCTAGGTTAAAACTTGGTTTTGTTAGGTGCTTTGCTACCCCAAACCTGGAAAGTTATCTGCTGACTTGAAAACAGATGTTCTTGTATGTTAAACTAGCTGTATTTCTGCTTAAAAAAATAATTTGACTTGAAGCTATTTTTGACAAAGCCACAAAAACCGAACACGAAGACATTTATTTCTAGAGTTTAAAACCATATTTATACTCTGAAACTACTCTCCTAAAAGAATCAAGTAATCTTTGTATTGATGATAAATGAAGCAAGTATGTTTATAAGTAAGAAAAAAAACATGTGTTGTCATTTGGTCAAGTTTTAGAATTAAGAAATTTTTTCATGCTAGTGAACGAAAACACCCCTGGTAAATTGTGAAGGTTCATTCAAAAGAAAGAGATGATCTGAATAAGCCCCAAACAACTTCAGAATGTTACTTGTATTTACCTTCAAAAGTGAAGAAAGTGAACTTCTTGTTTCTGTGAGTTGTTCAGATGTTGACTGCAGACGTCTTGTCCTTGATCTCAAAGTCTTAAAGCTCCGTGATTGTATGTAAACTTTAAGTAATAAGAAGAGATAACAGTTAAAACCTATTTGTTACTACCACTACAAAAAAAAGTCTAAGAAATTTCAGAAACTATGATATGAAAGACTATCATGACTGAATGGAATATATAATCTTTCCACCATATCCACTGGACTGTAAATGGATAGCTATGTGATCACAAACAATATTTGTCATTTGCAAGCAAACAGTTTATTGTTTTGCATAAAATTTTATGTTGAAATAATCAGGAGTTCATGGTGTGAATTACAGATAATTAGTCAACTCAGGGAATGGGAGACATGCAGCTGAATTAAATCCAGGCAGGCTGACAAACATGAAACATTTAGAAGCTAACCCAGAAGGATGGGAATAAAGCTTTGCCTAAAAGCTCTGCTGCTAAGGTGCCCTGAGGAGATCTGGAAGGACTTAAGTGTACTGTTAACTTAGAAACTGACAAAAGAAATGAGACCTTTTAATCACAGTGAGCTTATAGCACTATATGTCACCTTCTATCACACCAGAAACGTTGTGATGGAAATTTGACCACACAAATTACAAAAACCAAAGATACTTATCTTCTTTCAGTAGTATGTTTTAAAAGAAAAACCAATGTCAGTCAATTATATTGTTCTCACTAAGCCTTTTGTGACCATAGAACAGCACCAGATAAAAGGAACTTCTGCAGCTGATCTTTGACCCCTGCTCAAAAAAGTCAAACTTCAACATTTGACCAGGCAGCTCTGGACCTTGTCCAGCTCAGTTTTGAAAATCTCCAAGGATTAAGAGAACAAAACTTCTCCTGACAACCTGTTTCAGAACTTAGCAATCCTCATTGTGAAGATTTTCCAACAGGAATTTCCTTTGCATTTACTTGTGATTGTTGCCTCTTCCCTGAGGTGTACAAGAGAAGGGTAACCAATATGGCTCCAACAGCAATTAGATCACTCCTTGCCTTCTATTCTGCTAACGAAAACATCAGATCCTGTTCCCCTGTATATTAAATGCATCTGCACCTTTCCTTGTGGCCCATCACTGGGCTATCTCCATGTTGTCAGCATCCCTCTTAACTACAGGATACAAAGCCAGATGGTCTCTCCAGATGTAGCATCAGAAGAACTGAATGGAGGACAATAGCTGAACTCCCTGAGCTCCTGATTATCTTTTTGCTACTGCAGCCCTGTTGTTACCCATCACACATCCAAGAGTAGTTTAACCAGTCACCAAACCCCTAAGAAAGTTCAACTGGATGAGCACTGGATCTATCAGCTCACATACCATCTTTTAAGAACACGATTTACAAATACTAACTTCTATATAGTAAGATGAAGTTTACCAGCTTAGTTCTGAAAACACACTACTGTGATGCAAAACTAACCATGATTTAAAGTGTTAAGACCAATATAAAGATCCTGCTGGAAACTTAGTGGTATTCCCTGTGTGATGCCTCTACAACAAATGCAAAAATACTTTCCCAGAATTAAAAAAATCCTAAAAGGATTAAAACCAGTGTAATTTATGGCTTTATACCTGGCCAACAGCGAACATCCAAACAGAAATTTTGGAGGGGATTAGGATGTTGTCTGTACAAACAAGATGATGAGCGTAAAGCACTGAAAACATCCACAAAACCTGTAGAAAGATACAACAAAGTGTAAATACACCCTGTCTTAAATGGCAACTCAACATTACTTGCAGTTTGTTTTCTTCCTTTCTTAAACATTAATTCTATTTTACTACAGTCCTTCAGGCACCTTTAATTAAACAAAATTAACCATTACCAGAACATCTATCAAAGTTTTGAAGCATTTGCAACCATTTTGTTCACTTTCAGGCAACAGACTCTGGGCTATTTTATTTCATCTCAGATCACAATGCAATTTTGTACTTTCTCTCTAATAGCAGTCCTGAGATTATACTTAAACACTTTCTTCTACTGCAGTACTGTATAGGCAGGATCTCAAATGTCAGCTACACGCTTCTTTTTCCAACACATTCTTGAGCATCTACAATGGCCTTACTTCCTGTACTTCAGACTAATTCCAACAAAACATCCTTAACTGTAAGGAACCACTCTTGATTTATTTCAGCAGTTAAATACTCTACATGGAATGTTAACAGCCTGCCTTCCTCTCTTTCTTTCTTTCATTCTCTTTCCTGAATTCCTTTCTAATTAATGCCTTTGTGTAACACTGCTTCAAGCAAAAAAAGAAATAACGTAAACTGCAGATGTTTGTAACTGTGTTACACTAGTAGATTAGCAAAATCTAGTGTCATACTGAAACAAACAGGTGGAAAAATCCATAGTTCAGGTTCATCGTTAAGAGAAATGCACTTGTACTACAGCTGAGTTCAGCCAAGTGTAATAGCAACTTCAAATCTGATAAAAACAAATCCAAAACCTATGTTGAATTTTCTAAAATTCCCAAGACTCAAAAGCACCACTCTAGAGACAACCGATATACAATCAAAAATACAATACTGTTTTTATTCAACAATGTTTTACACTATGAATTATCTACAGCATGAGATTAAACTGAAGAATAACTGCATTCATCTTTATAGTTTAACTCTCACAACTCCTGTCAGCCCTTCACTCAAACATACCATGCTTGTTTTCAAAAAAGGACTCAGCGGAGACATATGACGTATGCCAATGCGAAGAGACTTTGTTTTCTGCACTGTAGCCAGGAAGTAACCTGTTCACCAACTCTTTGAACTGGTTAGCTTTCAATCCCAGATCTCTTAAATTAAGTACAGACTGAAAAACAGAAATAAACATTCAAAATTTATCTAAGATTCCGAGTAGCACCAGAAGCAAATACAGACTCACACACAAAAATAACACCAAACAACAACAATGGAGTCACAACAGTGTGATGATTACTACGATCCATGTTGATTTCCAAAGTTCTGCAAGTAGCAAGAAACTCCATGTTTTTCCTCCAAAACATGTTCTTAGTTATAAAACTTGCTGTAAGAAATGAGTTGAAAGAAGAGTAGCAATATTGGATAGTTTCCATGCTTTAATTTTCAAGAACAAGAACAAGAACTACCTAATGATAACAAAAGATATTTTAATAGAAAAATAAGTAAACATGCAAATGTGCTATGTTTAAGGTTTTTGAGAGATTATGTCTCTTAAATTACAGTCCATTTTCTCACAAGCAATAATGAAGCAAACTTTGCTAGAACTCAGAGTGAAAAGATAATATGGGGTTTATTAACAGAAAAGTTATATTACTACTTTAGAGGACGAAACATTAAGGTGAAAATGAAAACAAAACCCATCCCCACTTGCACAGTACTACTGAGACAAGTACCAGCATTTTTCCTTTATGAAATACTGTATTGTTGTAGAATCCTTACTGTGGCTCTGTCATAAAGTTACATTCTACACCTTAACATTGTTTTGTCTAGTCACATTACATGATGTCATAAACCAGTGGGATACTCAATTCACTTAAACTGCTGTTACTCAGGTTTAGTGTAGTTAAAAGCAAACCATCACTTTTTCTAGAGGTTTTTAGTACCTCACTCTTCTGAGGATCATGCTCTGGGGAGGTGTCCCTCTGGACAGGCTGTATGGATGCTGTGCTGGCAGCAGTAGTGGAGCTTTTTGGTGAATGAAAGGCATTGATAAGGTGACTCAGAGGAACAGTAGCCTGAAAGAAAAAAGTAAGTCAGACCCACTGAGGTCCCTTCCAACCTAACTGATTCTGTGATTCTGTGTCTTGTACATTGCCTTTTAACTGAGGACTTCATTATAAACCACATGAACTTATCAACACTTCAGTGTTAGGTAATACCTCTACTTAAAGAAAAAAAAACCCCGAAGCTTAAGTGTGCATAACAGATTAGAAGCTGATATTTTCACCTATAAAGTACTACTCTTATCACTTGAATCATCTCTACTTTTTCCCTCATTATATGAGTTACTCCCAAGAGTTACCTTGATGCTTTCTTTCTTCGTTGGGATCCTACTTTAGCAACATTCCTAAGGCTCAAACAAACCCATGCAAAGGATACACACAGGGTCAGTTCTGCAGTTCAGCAGCACTCAGCCCACTCCCCCTCATGAACCAGTACAGAAGCACAGGTGCACCACATACCAGGTCTGCTCCTCTAGCACTTGACTACATCTCTTCCCAATATATGGAACAAATAATTCCAACACTTCCAAAACATCTTAGACTCAGTGGATGTCACTAGGAATGCTCTAGGGCGTAACTCCAGCTGCTGGAATGATACCTGACTGCAATACCTGACTGAAGCTTAATTGGGGATGTCTATAAATGTCCTTCTGCAAAAAATTCCACCTGCGTGTTGACTAGACAGAAGATCATGAGAGACAATGCTGTGAGACATGAAAATCGCCTCGTAATTAATTGTCCAATGCTGTAATTACACTCTGGGAGTTTGTGGTAAAACCATAAAGCCTCCAGAGGTCAAAGCCAACACCTCAGCCACTAATTGGGTTCTCCTCCTGCATTGCCCACTATGGTAGAGTAAAACATTCCCCAAAACTTCACAAGTTCCTCCATTTCAATACGCTAGTGAAAGTATTCACATCCGGAAAGAACAATCCGACCTCGCTGTGGAATAAGACGTACAAAACACAAACCCAAACCCACTGGTTCAAACCAGAATCCACACAACCCACCAGTCCGAGGAGCCTTACTAAGAGAAAAGGCTCCCGAAACACTCAGACTGCTCCGCACAACAAATTCCTGACGGGCATTTCGAAGCGTTTGAAGTAATTTCCTTCTGCTTCTCACAACAACCCGCGACAACTCACAGCGCAGTTTCACTTTAGCTGTAGTAAAGCATCCACCACCACCCTTTACTCCTACTACAGACACTAGAAAGCGCTACCTACGGCTAATGCTTCATTTCCGAACGCCTCAGCTTTAACTGCTCTCGCCTCCACGTACGCACTTTCCCCTCAGGTGCGCGCCCCAGGCCGCCGCGCCCGGCGGGCCCTCACCTGCGGCTGCACGGCGCAGAACGAGAACATCCTCTCGGCGGGGACAGCGGCCGGGGG